AAAAAAAAAAAAAAAAAAAGAAAAGAAAAAAATTATAACCACAAACAGGAAATAAATCTATAAAATTCAAGTAGCCCATTTGGAAAAGAAACAATTTTTTTAAGGAAAGAAATGCAATATTTAAAAACACGATGGATAAGTTTAACAGCACATTAGACACTACCTGGTTGGAATTAGTGAACTGAGAGCTTTGAAGAAAGTGTTCAGATTGCAGCCCAGGGACGCCGAGGGGAGTTGAGGAGACACGGGACAGAGCTAGGTGGTCCGTGTACTCTGAAGTCCTTGAAGAGAGGAAAAATGGGAGGTGAGATATGAGAGGGAACGGCTGAGAAATTCCCGGAACTGATGGAAACCACTACTCCATAGAGTCATGAGGGCCAAGGCATTCCAAAGGGGAGGAATAGAAATGAGTGTACGCTCCGATGCACCAACGTCGTGAAACCTGAGAACACCTAAAACAAAGAGAAAAGCTTAGAAGCAGCTAGGGGAAAAAAGGCAGGTTATCTTCAAGAAAAAGCAGGTAGGGCCGGGCCCAGTGGCTCATGCCTGTAATCCCAGCACTTTGGGAGGCCAAGGTGGGTGAATCAGGAGGTCAGCAGATCAAGACCAGCCTGGCCAACATGGTGAAACCCCATCTCTATTAAAATACAAAAAATTAGGTTGGCCTGGTGGTGCACACCTATAATCCCAGTTACTCTGGAGGCTGACATGAGAATTGCTTGAACCTGGGAGGCAGAGATTGCAGTAAGCTAAGAATATGTCACTGTACTCCAGCCCGGTGACAGAGCAGGACTTCTCTCTCAAAAAAACGTCTCAAAAAAAAAAAAAAAAAAAAAGGAGTTAGACAACAGTTGACAATAGGAGAATTCCTTCTGTGTGGAAAGAAAACACTACCCATCTGAAATACAATACCCAACAAAAGCATCTTTTGAAGAATGACGTGGCCCAGTGTGGTAACTCTCACTTGTAATCCCAGCACTTTGAGAGATCAAGGCGGAAGGATGGCTTGAGCTCAGGAGTTCAAGACCAGTCTGGGCAACATGAAGAAACCCTGTCTCTACAAAAAGTAAAAAAATTATCTGCATATGGTGGAATGTGGCTGTGGTCCCAGCTACTTGGGAGGCTGAGGTGGGAGGATCGCTTGAGCCTGGGGGGATTGAGGCTGCAGTGAGCTGTGATTGCATCACCGCACTCCAGCTTGGGTGGCAGAGACATTGTCTCACAAAAAAAGAATGAGGTGAAAATAAAGATACTTCAATGTAACAAAAACACATTGCCACCACCAGATTCTCACTAAAGGGAATCGTAAATAATATGCTTCAACCAGAAGGAAGCTGATCTTAGGCAGCAGCTCTGAGGTACACAAATGAATAAATTTTAAAAAAGATAAATGTGAATGAACACTGTAAAATGGTGATAATGTCTTTCAGAGTGAAAGAAGAATAGAATTGAAATACGTAACAAAGAAAACAATACATAACAATCACATATCTAGGTTGAAGATTCTTATATTATCCAGAAGGATTTATTACATTTAGACTTTGACCACAGGTTTAAGAGCCAAGAAACAGAGTTAAGCATATATTAGCAGGGCACAGTGGCTCACACCTGCAATCCCAGCACTTTGGCAGGCCGAGGCAGGAGAATCACTTGAGCCCAGGAGTTTGAGACCAACCTGGGCAGAATGGTGAAAGCCCATTTCTACAAAAGCTACAAAAATGAGCTTGCTGTGGTGGTGCATGCTGTAATCCAGGCTACTCAGAAGGCTGAGGCAGGAAGATCACTTGAGCCTGCAAGGCAGATGTTGTAATAAGCAGAGTTCGTGCCATCTCACTCCAGTCTGGATGACAGAGCAAGACTGTCTCAAAAAAATAAAAAGCATGTATTGAACTTTGATATGACAGAGGTAGCACAGAAGATCACCAGGGGAAAGGGGAGCTATTCAATAAACAGAGCTGCAAAGATTGGTAATCTATAAGGAAAAAGATTGAAAAGGATGCCTCCCTCACGTCAGACCCAGAAGTCAACTCCAGGCGGATAGGAATATAAATGCAGTATAGGTGGTTATCTAACTCTAATTTTCTTAAACAGGAACCAAATGTAAAACATAAACCATAACCATAACTTCTGTTCATCAACAAACACCTTAAAAAAGGGGAAAGGCAAGCTGCCAACTGGGAGGAGATACTTACAATATGTACACCTGAGAAAAGAATAATCAGCAGTATATAAACAGTGCCCAGCCGGGCGCGGTGGCTCACGCCTATAATCCTAGCACTTTGGGAGTCTTAGGTGATAGTTCAAGACCAGCCTGGCTAACATGGTGAAACCCCATCTCCACAAAAATACCCGAATTAGCTGGGCATGATGGCGGGTGCCTGTAATCCCAGCTACGCAGGAGGCTGAGGCAGAGAACTGCTTGAACCTGGGAGGTTCTAGAGGTCACAGTGAGCTGAGATCGCGCCACTGCACTCCAGCCTGGGCAACAGGGCAAGACTGTCTCAAAAAAAAAAAAATTCAGATACCATATTTTTATTGTAGCTTTCTTGTGATTAGATATACAAGTACTTACTGTTGTGTTACAGTTCCCTGTGGTGTCATCACACTTCCATGATGTACTGTGTGTAAGTACAGGTGGGAGCCATTGCCTGTGTTGTAGTCACAGTCCCATGCTGTACTGCGTGTAAGTACAGGGGGGAGCCATTGTCTGTGGTGTCACAGTTCCATGCTGTGTGTGTGTAAGTACAGGTGGGAGCCATTGCCTGTGGTGTCGTCACAGTCCCATGCTGTACTGTGTGTAAGTACAGGTGGGAGCCATTGCCTGTGTTGTAGTCACAGTCCCATGCTGTACTGTGTGTAAGTACAGGTGGGAGCCATAGCCTGTGGTGTCGTCACAGTCCCATGCTGTACTGTGTGTAAGTACAGGGGGGAGCCATTGCCTGTGKTGTMRTCACAGTCCCATGCTGTRCTGTGTGTAAGTACAGGGGGGAGCCATTGCCTGTGGTGTCGTCGCAGTCCCATGCTGTACTGTGTGTAAGTACTGGGAGAGCCATTGCCTGTGGTGTCGTCACAGTCCCATGCTGTACTGTGTGTAAGTACTGGGAGAGCCATGGCCTGTGGTGTCGTCACAGTCCCATGATGTACTGTGTGTAAGTACTGGGGGAGCCATTGCCTGTGTTGTAGTCACAGTTCCATGCTGTACTGTGTGTAAGTACTGGGAGAGCCATTGCCTGTGGTGTCGTCACAGTCCCATGCTGTACTGTGTGTAAGTACAGGGGGGAGCCATTGCCTGTGGTGTCATCACAGTTCCATGATGTTCTGTGTGTAGGTACAGGTGGGAGCCCTAAGTTAGCACATACAGCCCTGGTGTTCCGTAGGCACTGGAATCTAGGTTTGTGTAAGTACACTCTACGATGGACACAGCAAAATTGCCTGCTGATGCGTTTCTCTGGACACTTCCCCATTGGTTTTTTGTTTGTTTGGTTTTGGTTTTTTGAGCCTGGCCTCACTGTGTCACCCAGCCTGGAGTGCAGCGGTGTAATCACAGCTCACTACAACCTCTCCGTCTCGATTCAAGTGATCCTCCCACCTCAGCCTCCTGAGCAGCTGGGACTGCAGGTGGGCACCACCACATCTGGCTAATTTCTGCTCTTTTTGTGGAGATGGGGTTTCACCATGTGACCCAGGCTGGCCTCAGCTTCCTTAGCTCAAGTGATGTGCCCACCTCGGCCTCATATCCCCATCGTTAAGAGACATGTGACTGTTTGTACCCAGTGATTTGCACAGGAATGTTTATAGTAGCACTGCTTACGGCAAAAAACAAACTGGGGACAGTCAAAATACCAATCAAGAAGATGGATAAATTGTGGCATATTCCTACACTAGAATGCTATGCAACAATGAAAAATAAAAATTGTTACCTGCATCATCTTGGAAGAATCTCATAGACACAATGTTTAGTGAAAGAATGAAAAACTCACATCAGGTGGAATATAGTATGGATAGACACGGTTACCAGTGTTTCTAAAAGCAAGTCTTGGCAGTTCTACTCCTGCCGACATACCTGAGAGAAATGATTGGCTATTTTCCCCAAAGTACATGTATAAAAGTGTTCATAGCAACTTTCTAATAGCCCAAACCTGGAAATAAGCTAAATGCCCATGAATTGGAGAATGGATAAATAAATTGATATAGTCACACACTGATACATTGTATAGCAATGAAAAATAACTAATAATTGCTACATGAAACAACTTTGATTAATCTCATAGACACAGTCCTTAGTGAAAGAAGCCAGACCTCATATAAATGATTGCATTTATACGAAATTCACTACAATCAGGCAAATCTAATCTGTGATGACAAAGGTGCATGTCTTCTGGTGGCAGTATCAACTGGGAGGTCATATGAGGAGCTGTCTGGGTGTTGGAAATGTGCTATAGCCTGATCTGGATGATAAGTACGTAGGTATATACATATACAAAAACTTGTGCTGAATGCTAGCATTTATGGACTTTACTACAATTTATACCTTAATGAGAAAGTTGTTAAAAGTTCCAAAGTTCCAGAAGACAAAATGGGATTTCACTCCCCTCCCCTCTTTTTTTTTTTTTTTTTTTTT